GTCGGGTCTCAATACGCAAGTGTTTTACAACAGTCGGTAAGTGGTGTGCGTCGGCCGCCGCCCCGCTTCCCAGCACTGGAAGGTGCAAAACTGCCTATGTTTTCCCTTGCCTCCGCAGCCTCCTTGTCTCCCCTTGCTTGATGAGTATCGACCTCTCACACGAGGGCAGTTTCATGCCTAAAACCCTTTGCAGAGGAGGACATCAAGCCCCAGCTGGAGCCGGTGGCAGTAGTGACATTTCCCTCGTGCCTTCAATCGCCATCTCCCTCCTACAACTCCCGGACCCAGCTCCCTTTCCCTGAGGTGGTGTGAGGGGTCAAATTCAGCTCACCTTGCAGCCCTGGGACTCTGCACCCTCCAGAAATGCCAGGGTCAGGCAGAACACCAGGCTATGAGTATCCTGGGCCCAAAGGAGACCTGGCACAGGCACAAGCTGCCTGAGATGCAGACAGTGGGGCTCCTCCTGCTGTTTTGCCTGGCCAGGCACGGTAGAGGGAAAGATAGATGGCAGGGTTCAGCCTGCTGATGTTTCTTAAGTGCCTATCAGGAATTAAAAAGTATACCTTATGCTCTAAGGTTTTATTACTTGCCCCTCCTGAGCAGGGGAGAGTGTGCGGGAACCTGCAGGCAGGTCTGGTCTGGGTCTGCTCATCTGAAGGGGGTGCTAAGATCCCCAGCAGCTCAGGAGTCAGCACTGCTCAGCTGCTGAAGCACTTGTCAGTTGCTTGGTGTTCCCATCTCCAGCTGCTCATCTTCCTCCTCTGACCAGCTCAAGCTGTCATCCGAGACTTCCTCCTGCGCTGCCCTGGGCTCCTCTACATTGGCAACCTTCTTCTCCTGCTCACCACAGGAGTGCAGCTTGCTTTGGGGGAGCTCCAGCCTGGCCCAGGAGCCAGGGCTGGCTTTGCAAAGTATAATCTCCACCTTGGCAGGGGCCATGCTCACAAAGCTGCTCTCTATTTCTATGACCTAGAGAGAAGGAAAGGTGCAGTGAGCTGGGGAGGGGAGGGCAAGCATATGGGCAGAGCCCTGACAGAGGAGGAGATCTCTTCTCCTCCTGTGGAAGGAGACAGAATGGGATGAAACCTGGGCTCGAGCTGAGTTTGATGGTGTTACATCTAAGCAGCACCACAGTGGTGGTACAGAGCTCAGGAGGGATCAGCTAGCTCACAGCAGTGAGCTGTGCTGAGACACAAGCATACCCACTCCTGGCAGAACGCTCTGCTGCCCATGGGTGCAGGCAGCATGCACCAGAAATGCACATGCAAATTCCTGAGTCTCACTGCTCCTCCCCAGCCAGCAAGCAGCTGAGAAATCAGAGACCAAGTCTCTCCCATCACACTGCTGCCTGCCCCCAGACACGGCAGGATTGCAAAGGGAGACAGGACAAAGACCATTTGCAGCAGTTTAGAACCAAACCCAGAACACCAGCCGAGCTGGCAGTGACATCCAGCTCTGTTCTTAGTCCAGGACTGATCAGTGCAGTCACCAGCAGCCTCCAAATCAGCCCTCTTCAAAACACCTAAGGCATTTCCTGGCAGAGATAGCTATAAATGCCAGTACCTGGGTGATCTGACTCCCAGATGATCCCAAAAAGCAAGCCAGCACTGTGGCAGTGTTTAAAAGAGAGTATCCAGGGTGCCTCAGGTAGTGCAGAGCAGTGAGACAGGAACTGAGCCCAAGCCCAGTCCTGACGTGGCTCCCAAGGGGTACTACCACTATGGGATCGATACAGAAAAACCCAATTTATCCATCAGCTTTTGATGCTACAGAAAACGGGAGCTCTAGAGATAAATGGGTCCTTGCTGCTGTGACAGCCCTGGTGGACCTGTGTTCTTCACAAGACTTTGAGAGCTGGCAATGAATGACGCTGAGGGAGGGACTAGGAAGTGGCTTTTTGTTCCACAGATGTGCCAGACAGGGAAGAGATGGTGTCCCAGGGACCACAGCATTCCTATGTGATAGTACAGTCGAAGTCTGCCTCATGCTCCACGCACAGGGAGGACTGTGCAGAAATTGCGCCAACAACCAGTTTGCCGTTTTGTCAGAAGTCTGAGAACCCTGACTACACAGAGGATAATTTTCCTTACTGGGAGCCTGTGTTTGGGGCTGCAGGTACTTCTCCAAAAGCATAGGCCACCTCTCAGCATTGCAGCCCAGCCCCATGCAGACTACTGGAATAGGGAAATCAGAGCAAACAGGATCTTACCCCCCAGAGATCCAGTTCTGCCTGGAAAATCTTACTCCCTTCAAAGATGATATGAGCCTCAAGCTGAAAGATCAACAGAAAATTATCCAAGTGGGTATCATAGCACTGCCAGAGCTCTTCCAGCAGACAGTCCAGCTGCCTTCCAGCATCATAACACGTTCCATGTTCTGGCTCCGGTGTAATGGTCTGGCGATCTCCTTGGCACCTGGGAGCATCTTACCCCATTCAGAGCATGTTGGGTTCACCTCTGCCACCAGCTGAGGGATTCAAGGCCAGCAAAGCCACCCATTGAGGCTGAAAGCCACTAAGTCAGGGTGGCCAGGCAGATGCTGCTGCAGCAGCAAAGCCACCAGGCTCTTAACTCAAGAGGTCACTTGTGCCAGCCTTGGCTGCAGCAACAGACCAAACAAGGCATCGAAGAGCAGCAGGCATCCATCTGGCTGTTGGCTGCTGCCTCGTCAAAATCAAGTGCCCTGGAAGCGCACATCCCAAAGCCCTTCTCTGCCTGCCCTACTCACCATGGTGCGGTTGGCCTTCACGCTGCTGAGGGTGGGCAGGGGGTTCTTGGCATAGACTGTCACCACCACGTGGCTGCTGGTTTGGTGCCAGTCCTGTCGGCACAATGCTACCTTCTTGTCCTGCCAAGGAGAGGAACCCATTGTAGCACAGTGTCCAGCCCAAGCGCACCCTAAATAGAGGGGAAGTCTGTGCTGGAGAATGCTCCTTTGCATGTCTCCTTCACAGACCACCAGCTGAGGTTGGCAACAGCTAAGATCAAACCTTACCTTACATGCAGTATTTAGAGGGGAGGTAGTTCATGCAAAGGTGGCCAGCCCCTGCCAGGCTGTCCCATGCAATGTGGGGCATCTGTATTGTGCTTAGGGTTGCTCCAAAGGATGTGTTAAGACCAGAGATACCTCCTTCTTGTTCCAGAGTCACTCTGCTGTGCCCAAGCTCGTAAGTACTGTGCACAGTCAGGAAACACGGTATGAAGGGCAGGGGCTGTTCTTGGACATGAATCATGCTACCATGCTAAATTTGGGCGACAGATGAGCCCCAACTGGTCACGTTTCGCCTTTCTCCCACAGAACCCCCACCAGGCCCGTACCACAGGGAGCTTTGGCCCAACCAGGCATTTCTGAGCAGAGACAGACCCCTGCAACCCTCAGCATTACTAACCAGAGAAATGCCCCATGAGGAATCCCAGTCCAAAACTCAGGTGACAATTAGCACCAAGCATCTGCATCTCAACATCACAGTTCGTTCACTGCAGCCTCCTTTACATCCACTAGATGTTTTCTGCTCCAGCACAAAGAATAGATTGGACTCAGAGTTGCTCAGAGCAGTGCTGATTCACAGAATCAAAGATTTCTCCAAGTTAGAAGGGACCTCTAGAGACCATCTAGTCCAGC